AAAAGATGCAAAACGTTTTGGCCGGATTGCAGCTTTTCGCTCCAGAAAGAAAGTTGCAGAACTCTTCGTGCAACATTTAGCTCCCACACTGAGCGTACATTGGCAAAGCTGCAAGAAAGGTTGCCGAAATGCTGTTTTTTTGCAACATTGTGCTGCCATCAAAAGCGGGGTAAGCAGTGCAAACAATTTATCATTGTTCCAAAAGCAAGCCGACGAATTTCGTCGGCGTGCTAGTCCCCAGCTCGCTTTCTTCCTTCCTGATGCCGGACACACCTTATTCGCCAACGAAGGGAAACAACAACACGCGTCTACTTGAAAAAAGGACGGAGAGTCACCCTGCAGGGGCGGGGCTTGGTCCCGCAGTGAGCAACTAACGCAATGGGAAAAATATTGTACACGAACTGTGCGCATGTATTTATGCACACAGCAGTACATTGAGCCAATAAAGTCAAACCCGAAAAAGCTAACCATAACTATCGCCGACCCTACTCATACGTCATCCTGTAGAACCTTGAAAACTAGCATGTTCGGCCGGAGGGTCTGATACACATGTCGCCCGAGCGCTCCCGTAGAGAACAGGCGCGACCGGCCCTGAACAGAGAGAGAGGGCACTTTTCAGACGCCCATCCATGCGTGCGCCCCGATAAAATTGGCAACTTGAATACAGATATCGCCCGCAGTTAAGTAAAAATATGTTGAGGAATGAGGCTCACGTTTTTTGGAAAAAGAAGCAACGAGGGCTAAGAAACATACATAACTCAATCTCGGCCACAACGTAAGAAACATGATATTAGTGCGATATGCCCATGATACCAGAAGTCTTCGGTGCTCCCACCCCCTTCCCTAGCTGAACACAAGTGCACTGTTTCTGGTAAGGGGGCAGAGTGGTTGTTTTCGCCCCCCCCCCCCTTACCCTTGCTGTTCCCTGTGGTGTACTGTAGTACTGCCACACATCGCGGACAACCGCATGCTCTACGCTGGTGTACGAGTTTGATGGCACTCTCCACCATCTCTCTTGAGGGCTTGATGAAGAGGATTGTCTCAAAAGCAAGCCGACGAATGTCGTGGGCGTGCTAGTCCCAAGCCCCTTTTTGTTTCTCTTTCTTACGCCATGCCGGGCACACCTTGTTCACCAACGTCCCACTTAAAGAAAATAGCGGAGAGACGCGTCAGGGGCCGGGCCCCGCAGTCTGCAACTGACGCAAACGGGAAGATAATGTAACCAGCTTGCATACCTGCAGTATATTTAGCCAACAAAGTCCACCCCGAACAAGCCAACCCTAACTAACACCGACCCTAGCCACAAGTCGTCCTGCAGACGCATGAAAATCTAGCTGTTCGGCTGGAGGGTCTAAACCACATTGTAGCATGTCGCCCGAGGGCTCTCGAAAAGAACAGCCGCGACCGGCTCTGGGCGGAGAGAGAGGGCACTTCTCAGAACGCCCATACACATGCGTACAGTAGGTGGCCCAATATCGTGTCAACTTGAATAATAATGGTAACCCATATTGTGGCATCAAATCTCTTGCCACAATCTCAACATGTACATGAACCCGATATATCGAATAATAATGGCGCTGCCCTGAATAAATGATACAGAAGTGGCATATTCTCCTCTTCCTGCCCCTACATGTCACTATACCGGATCACTTACTGTAAGCACTTTTGCGGCGAGGGACTCGATGCTGTCGACAATCTCCTCGCTGCCCGCTCGCCGATGATCTGTCCAGTACTACAGTGGCCGTTGCATTGCATTTATCCCAATGGTTGCGTTCTTATACATGCATACGCACGATCACACCCGAACGCAGGAGATCACCCGAACGCGGACCGGTAATTTACTCCCTCTCACGGCGGAACAAAAAACGTCCGGTCGAACTTGCATTTATTTGCCGTCACAACAAACGTCAACCCACATTACGATTGACGTACAACGCAACATCATGATTGGCGTGCTCTACTCTGCTTGCCGTTGGAGATGTGCAACGCTACGCGAGGAAGGCGTTAACCGAGGAGGCGGAATCTGTACGGTCAGTTCACTGTGGTGACAACTGCAAAAAATAAAACATGACCAGACAAGACCAGACAAGAGGCTGTAACCACCACGGACGAAGTCTGTAACCCTGCCGTCCGTGTTAGATGCGCACCGCTACATGATGCGTGGGCGGGAGACCCCAAGAAACAAAGCACGAACACACGAAACAAACAGCAACATGGAAGTACGAAAAATGAGCGAGGCCAAGACAGTGAGCCAGGCCCGACAGGTTTCGGAAAGAAGGCGAGAGAGTGCATAGAAAACGCACCCTCCTCGCCGCTTTGAATCCCCAGAAGCTGTCACATCGCACTGCAGTAAGCATCATGGTCATGCCCATTCCCTGGCAGCACCCATCGTCTCCCATACGGCGGCCGGATGCACGTGTAGCCTCTTAAGTCTACTCAGTCAGCAAAATGAAAAACAATCGCGGTTGGCGATGTCGTGGGGACCCCACCGGCGAAAGGTGAGAGAGGAGAGCGGAGAGAGGACAAGACATTCACTCTCTACAACGCACCCACTCTCGTTCCTCTGACCACTGTGGCTCAAGATCAGCGTTTAAGACCCTGTCGGGCAAGGGGTGGGCTATGGGAAAGAAAATGTCAGGGGCAGAAAAAGTGAACTTCGGTGGATGAGACCAATTTCTAGCGAGCTTGGGAATGTGCATCGATAGACATTAAACGATGCTGAGCAGAGAACGACAAATACCACTATCCTGATCAAACTCAGCAGTGCCGCTAGCAGATGGACCATTATTCTTGGTGGAGACCACGACTTGATTATCGCGCGAAGCAGGTTGAGACGACCTGACGCGCACCCGGATATAACAACAGTCTTCGACCGGCAGTCAGCGGAGAGAAAGAAGAGGACACTTCTCAAAGCGCCCATCCGTGCGTATGCATTGTTGGTGGCGAGGGAGTCCACGCTGTCAACAATCTCGCTAATCGTGCTCGCCGATGATCTGGCTGGTACGCACGATCACACCCGAATGAAGAAGACCACCAGAACGCGGACCGGTAGCTTAGTCTCGCTCTTTCGGCAAGAACCAACCACCCCCGGACGAACTTGTATTTGTAGTCACAAGAACATGATGATCTATTGCTGATTGATTGACGTGGGGGATGTGCATCGCTACGGACAGCGAGGAAGGCGTCAACCCCTCGCACAGCTTCTTGCGCACACGATGAGTGTGCTGCCGTCAACCCTATCCCTTGAGCTCACACACAGCCATACCCGATACATGCGAAGAAAACGTCAACCCCTCGCACAGCTTCTTGCGCACACGATGAGTGTGCTGCCGTCGACCCTATTCCTCCAGCTCACACACCACCATACCCGATACATGCGAAGAAAAACATCCCCCGGCAAACTATTAATTGGTGGGTGGGCCAGCGCGGATGGAGGATGGAGGACCCCAGAAAACAAGGCATGAATACAGTAGGAATACATACGCATATGCATTGTAAACCCATGAAAGAGAGCCAGAGGCAACAGGCTTAAGCGAGGAGGCAGAGGAGAGCATAGAAACAGAACCCTCGCCACTCTGAACCCCCGGCAGCTCTCACATTGATACTGCCCAAACATTAAGGCCACGCCCATTAGCTGGCAGCGCCCATCGCGTCACATGCACCAGCCGTACCCTCGATTACTCAGACAGCAACAAACAAAACTACGTAACCTACGGACGGACTTTCTTCCTTCGTAGAATTCTTCTTTGTGTGGGAAAATGTTGTGGTGACAAACAAACAAAAAGAACATGATCAATGACATGATGACTAGAAGAGACTAAGCATCACGGACGAACTACTTCAAACAAATGCCTGCCGTCCGCGTTAGATTTGCACCGTTACAAGAAAAACTTTGACCGTTCTCGTTGCCACTCCGTGTGTACACACGAGTAAAGAGATCGTGCTGCCATCGACCTTGGTGGGCGTTCTCTCCAAGCCCTTGTTGCAGATCACCTGTTCTCATACACCGAACCCCTTCGTGTTTCCGTGATTTCGACATTATTTACTGCGGAATAGTTGTCGACGATGTATAATTTGGATTGAAATGGGGCCTCTCGCCACGGCATGGGACCCACCCATACTTCCTGTTATTGAGCTGTTATTCCTTGTCGTGAATCGACGATCGCCCAAGTTCCCAATCATGTACTCAGCAAACATCCATGCTTGCGTGCGGCGGACCGTATGTGTTGTTAGTCTTTGTCTCGAGCTGCTGCCGTTGTTAATGGACGACAACACAGACAAAAACTCAAAAGATACGCGCAATGTCGGAGATATGCATCATGGCTGGATACCCGCAGTAGCATCATGAGTCACGCTGGATACCTGCAGTATTGCATCATGAGTCACGCCATTCTCTCTGTAGTCGATTGCAGAAACAAAACAAGACATCTCTGTCTGTGTGATGCATATATATGTATGTGCAAATACATGCGTTCCACGCGTGTAGCCTAGGGATAATGGGTTGAGAGTTTTGTCCTAGATACACAGCAGTGACAGAAGCCTGTGTGTAGAAGTCCAGCGGGGAGACTCTGAATGCTTCAGAGAGGTTGTCGGAATATTTGCGGTGGAACTTTGTTGGGATGTCCCAAAAGACCCCGAGAGACCAGTACAGCGAGTAGATCTCGGGAGAACCCTCTGTTGGGCGGTTGTTTGATTGTGTTTTTTTCTTTCGAGATGAGACACAAGCGCGCTCTCGCCCCCTTTGTGCTCACTCCTCTTCAGCACTATCAAAACCTGACGCGGGAGTAAGTCAGTGATCAAACATCATCCTTTGCTTCTTCGCTCCGAGGCACACATCAAGTTGCATCCGCACTCGAAGTGTAACCTCTTTGTAGTCTGCTGTATAACCACAGTCTACGAAGCGACCGCGTCACACAGCACACACCCGCTGCTGCTGCTGCTGCTGAGACGCTTATCGCGGAGAGGTTATGAGCCTCGCATAAACGCGTACACATCGAGCTATGGACAAGACAACGAGTTCAGCTACGGGACTTCCTAGCTTCACCAGGCTTCTGTGCTTCAACTGCGGAGAAGATACAACGGGAAACGGTTCAGCTTTCGAGTCAGCTTTCGGTTCGGACATCAAGAAGATACGAGGTCAAGCCAGGACGAACGAGCTCCGACTGAGGAAGACAAGTAAGCTGTTCGTGTGTCTATGGACATGGTTTGGATATGTTAGCCGTACGTACAAGTGTGACGCAGATGGTATAGAACCTTTTTGGTAGGGGTACGGTGATGATGCACCGGCCCCCCCTTTTGTGTGCAGCAGCCCTGCTGCCACTCCTCCTTTCTGAGCACGACAGCGCCCTGGGTACGGGCGTTGCCTCACCATCTAAAGCCAATACACTACACAAACAAAACCCGATACGTACGCGGAGTACGGCCGACAAACACTCTAGAGTTTAGAATGTTTGTCCCTCGAGGGATAGCCGCATCGGGTGATGGCTGTGTCGGACAGCGGTTCGGTCGAAGGGCTGGGGGAAGAGACCTCAGGAACACGCCAAGGACCCGGCGATTGCGAGGCTGGAGGGCCAGCTATCGCAGCTGATGAGTATAATAATGGAACTTAAGAGGAAGGAGCCTGGCGACGCCGTGGCGGGCGATGCCAGTAGGGGCGGCGGTGCTGCCGTCCCAAGCCAGAGAGAGTCCTTGCCGTCAGAGGGCGGCGGGGCATTTTCCAGGAAGCGGCCCGTGATCGGCCAAATCCCCCATGGGAAAGCCGCTGGGACAATATACCGGGAGCGAGTCCTGGGGTCCCAGCGAGAGTGGGGCCTGGTGTAGGAGCTGACCGCGGGGAAGCGAGGGGGTTAAACCCCCCAGGTGAGATAACCGCAACTCGTGGTAACGGTGATAACATCGATAGCTTCAATCACTGGAAGATTTAGCACGTGGCGAAAAGCTTTCATCCAGGCCGCTAAGACCGTGGAACTAGACGGTCAATTCATCGGGAGTACTGAGAGACATGCCCCCGTGGGCGACCCGAACATGCCCACCTCCACACTTTACAACGACTTGCGCTACACTAGGAGCGAGGTCGCACGTGGGCTCGCCGCGTTCCACTTCATCACTACCGCCGTGGTGAAAGAAACCGACAAAGCGGTCGTCAGTAGTTGTGTGACGGCGAAGGGGGTCCTCACGGAGCTTGAAAAAGTTTACGACCCCGAGTCGCAGGGATCCAAACAAGCCCTGATGAAAGAAATGTTCCGCTTCTCGATCCCGGCACACAGCAGCAGCAATCCAATCGAGCACCTAAGCAAGCTCGAGCAGATATACATTCGCCTACGCGAAAAGGGGCTCAACGCTGACACACCATTTGTCCTCGCACACTTCGTCGACTCGCTTCCACCCGACTACTAACAAGCGAAGTTCCTGTTGGAGACGGCGACAAGCTGGACAGGGGCGAGATCGTCAGGATCATGAGCACGGTGCACGCGAGCCTCCCGGAGGGGAGGAAGGCCCCGAAGGGCCAGCGGAAGGCGGAGCATGCTTTCCTCGCGAGCGACGGTGGCAGCAGGGGTGGAGCGCCCGGCCGCAGCAGCGGCGGCCGCAACAAGGGTGGCGGCGGCGGTGGTGGCGGCCAGAAGGGGAAAGGGGGTGGCAGCAAGGGCGGTGGGGGCGGTGGTAGTGGTAACAGCGGCGGAGGCGGCGGCGGCGGTGCAAGTAGCATGCACGGCCGCTGCTTCCGGTGCGGAGAGAAGGGTCACCAGGCGGCCGCCTGCACCAAGCCCGAGCCCCTGCGATGCGAGAAGTGCCTGGGCTACGGACACGACAAGAGCACGTGCTCGTCCGAGCAGGCGGTGCTCGCGGTGGAGCTGCCGGTCTTGGACGCCACCACACTGGACGTGGCAGAGGAGGCGCTAGTGGTCCGTGACTTCACAGGCGAGTGGAACAGAGTCGTTGATGGAGGGGGTGTAGAGCAGGCCAGGCAGGAAAGGTTTGTGGCCGATACCGGCGCAACCAACCACATGTTCCCGAGCGCTACCGCGTTCGAAAACTAACATGAGTGCGATCGACGTTTGAGTGTCGCCGCAGGGAAGCAAGCCTTCGCCATCGTAGGGTATGGCGACGTGAGGGTGACCAGCGGTTCTCGCGTTGGGACCACAGACCTGTTAAAGCGGGTCGCTCATGTGCCGGAGCTCAACAACCTCGTTTCCCTCACAGCCCTCTTGAAACAAACCAAGGGCCGCTTAGCCGCAGACGAGCACGAGTTGGAGGTGTTCGTTGGTGGGGGGGAGTCGGTGTACTTCCCTCTATGGGGGGACCTGTTCGTTCAGACTGGTCACCGCATAGAGTCGGGTAGGGAACTAGCCTGTGCCATAATTGCTCCTGGTAACGCGAAAGCGAACCGCACCCCCGTTGACATCAACGACTTCCACTGCGCGCACGGCCACTCCCACGAGGTGCTGCTGAAGAACACGGCGAAGCAGCAAGGGGTGACGCTGGTGGGCCAGCTCCGGGAGTGCATGGGGTGCTCGACGGCAAAGGGGCTATCCAAGCCCATCCCCAACAGGACGTCAACTCGAGCAGGTAAGCAACTGCAGAGAGTTTTCGTGGATTGGAGTGGGAAGGCAAGGGTGCAGAGCTTGGGGGGGAAGTGGTACACTCTCATTGTAAGGGATGACTGCACGAGGTGGAACCGCGTCTACTTCTTGAAAAACAAGTCAGACGCTGCAGAGGCATTCGGGAGATACCTAGCGGAAAACAGGGCAGACGGAGCCCCATCCGAGGTCATGGTCGTGCGGTCTGACAACGGAGGAGAGTTTTTCGAGGGACAGTTCGGAAAGCTGTGCGGCAAGTATTGCATCAAGCAGGAGTTTACCCCCGCATACAGCCCAGAATACAACGGTGTAGCTGAGAGAGCACTGGGACTGATCAAGGATGCAGCACTAGCCGCCCGCATACAAGCGCCGATTCTTTATCCCGAAGCACCAAGCTACCCCTCTCTTTGGGCCGAAGCCACAGCTTGGGCATGCAACGCCCTGAACTGCACCTCTACCACATCCAACCCGGACAAGAAATCGCCGTACGAAACGTGGCACGGGCACCCACCTCCCCCAGAGGCGACGTACTCGTTCCTCAAACCCGCCGTATACAAGGTCAAGCGCACGCACAAGTCAGAGCCGAAAGCAAAAAAGTGTTTTTACCTCGGCCCTGGAATTAACACAAACCGTGATTGCGTGCGCATCCTGAACGAAAAACGCCCAGCGATCACCACTCGCAACTTCACCTGGCAATCTGCTCCCGCCGCTCCGACTGCGCACCCCCGAGCACCGCCTCCCATTGCAGAAGAGGACGAGGAGCTCACGACTGGGGAGCACGAGGGCGGGGAGGGTGCGTCATGCCACGGTGGAGGGAGGGCGGTGGGAGAACCTGAGGATGGAGGTTTCCACCTTGACACGGCGGTAAACCCGGGGCCCGCGGAGCCGGCCACGCGCGATGCGCCGGCGGCGCCGCCGGCCGCACCTCAGGAGTCGGGCGCGGGCGACGCTGGCGATGGCCTCCCCTCGAGCAGGGAGGGCGCGAGCGTCGCCCCATCTACCACGTCGACCGGGATGGCCGATGTGGGCGGCGGCGAGGACGACCGCCGCCGCCGCAGCAGCAGCAGCGGTGGCGGCAGCGGCGGTGACAGCGACAGCGGCAGCGACAGCGGCAGCGACACGGATATTCCGGCGCTCCGCGGGCCCGAGGAACAGAAGCTCGCCCGCTTTGGCGAGCCGGCCGAACTCACCAGCCGCCGACTCAGGGAGAGCCCTCGCCGGAACACGACGTACGAGTCGTCGCCGTCGCCAACGAGTGCCGAAGGTCTGCTCGCCCGCCATGCGTCGGCGGCGGGGCTGCCCACCCTGCCCATCAACAGCACGGAGGAGTACACCCACTGGATGCTCGCGTGTGTGGTCGACGTGGTGGAAGGGCTAGAGGCGAGGGCGGTGCAAGCGCTGCTGTGCGAGCGCGCGGAGGAGGCCAACATCGCGCGCCAAGAGGCCGAGGACTTCCTGCTGGGAGCTGAGGACCTCGTGCTCAACTCTCCAGACGCCTTCGTGAGGGCCCTGGCGTCGGCCGAGCTGAGTACAGAATCCCCCATAGGCAAGCGTCCAAGTGACGTGGAATCCCCCCCCATGACCGTAGCCGGCGTTGCCAAGTCTGTGTACAGAGAGGGGTGGGAACAGGCCATGAGGGAAGAGTTTGATGGGCACTTGGACACGGGAACGTTTTCATTCGTAGACGGTACGCCAGAGGGGCGTAGACCTGTGAGTTCTAAGTGGCGTTTTACTTGGAAGACGAACAAGGAGGGGAAAAACGAGAAGTTCAAAGCGCGTCTGGTCGCTAGGGGTTTTTCGCAAATTCCGAATGTGGACCACTTCTACTCATCCTTCCCTTGCCCATCGTCCGCATCCATTAAAACTGATGCTTGCGGTAGCCAATGAGAAATCATTGAAACTCAACCACTGGGATGTCAAGCAGGCGTTTACACACGCTAAGTTAGACGAGGATGTGTTCTTGAGGCTCCCCGCGGGGTGCGGGGGAAAATCCCACAAAGTTGTGAAGGCTGAGCGTGCTATTTACGGCTTGAAGCAGAGCGGCAGGCAGTGGGGGTACCACGCTGCCGACACGCTTGTAGAAAACGGGTTCGAGCAGTGCAAGGCGGACCCGTGCGTCTTCCGCAAGATGAAAGACGATGTCGTGGTGATGATTATCGTGATTTTTATGTGGATGACATTTTGGTGGCTGGGTCTGATGATGATTGCAAGGAGTTGCTCGCTTCCCTCAACAAGGCATTCCCCACCAAAGGCCTTGGAAAGTGTGTGTGGTTCGACGGGTGTGCCGTTGAGAGAGACTTAAGAGGCTGGGACCCTTAGAATCTCCCAAACCGCGTGCATTGACAGCATCGTGAATCGCGTTGATGTGCAATCGACCTCCCCCATCCCTGCTTCCCCTGGTGCCGACCTAGGGCCGAAGCGAGATGACGAAAGTGGAGGGGAGTGGCCGGTGAGGGATGCCATCGGCAGCATGATGTGGGTGTCGACGTTCTCGCGCCCGGACATCTCGTTCGCTGTGCGTGCGGTAGCGCGCCACGCCCATGCCCCTGCCGAGAGGCACTGGAAGGCGATACGGAAGATCCTAGCCTACCTCAAAGAGACGAGGGACCTCGGGATCACCTATAAACGGGGATCGGGGCTGGGGCGGGCGGTGTACGTGCTAGCTACGCCGGCGCTGAGGATAGGCGTTCGGTGTCAGGGCTGGCAACAACGGTTGGAGGAACCGTCATAAGCCACGGTAGCATAACGCAAGCTATCGTATCTTTGTCGTCTACGGAGGCAGATTACATGGCTGCCGGAGAGGGTGTGAAAGAAGCTTTGTTTGTGCGTGCAGTGCTTTCGTTTATTGCCCCGGAGACCAGTGGCGGTAGCATTCAGGTCCTTGAGGAAAATTAGGGGGCCATGGCCTTGGTGCAGAACCCCCTTAGCTCAGCGCGTAGCAAGCACATCGACGTGCGGTACCACTTCATTCGTGGATTGTTTCGGTCGGGGGATATCTCGATCAAATTTGTGTCGACGTCGGAGCAACATGCAGATATGCTCACCAAGGCTCTTAGCAAGAGCAACCTGCGGTACCACCGGAAAAAGCTGATGAATTTGCCGGAGTTTCTGTAGGATTTTTTAGCGCTTGGGGAAGGTCATGTATACCATGCGGGGAAAGATGCATTACTGTCGCGGGCTGTGTCCCATTGGCAGGAGTAGGAGGCTTGCCTCACATTCTTGTCTTCGCCTTGGCCTTCCTGATAAGTGCGGCCGTTGTGATCCGCCGTGATAGCAATGGTTTGTGTTGGATGGGATATATTTTCGAGGGGTTCTGCCCGTGCGCCGGGTTTCTCCTCGACCACCGTATTGGCATTTTGATGTATCCGGGGTGTTTTTGCCCCACTGATGGTTAGTCACTTGCGTGAAGAACCAGGGAGGGTGTTCGTGGGTCTACGGACATGGTTTGGATATGTTAGCCGTACGTACAAGTGTGACGAAGATGGTGTAGAACCTTTTTGGTAGGGGTACGGTGATGATGCACCGGGCCCCCCTTTTGTTGTGTGCAGCAGCCCTGCTGCCACTCCTCCTTTCTGAGCACGACAGCGCCCTGGGTACGGGCGTTGCATCACCATCTAAAGCCAATACACTACACAAACAAAACCCGATAAGTACGCGGAGTACGGCCGACAAACATAAGCGACATTCGGTATCACAGGGGCTTCACACAGTGCGAGGGGCTCCTTTAGTGTTGTAATCACCAAGACGTTCGCTGGAAACAAGGGCTCATACATGGTGCACACAACTGCTGCATCACCAGCAGGGACGGTCCACACCGTAGTCCTATACACCCAATCGCAACGATAGGGTAAACAGGAGCGGGGTCGGGAAAGGACGACCTACAACCGTAATCATTTTGGACGGGAGCGAGGTTGAGACAGTCTGCACCGTAGTCTTATACACCCAACGAGGGGGTAAACAGGAGCGGGGCCTGGAAAGAACGGCCTACAACCGCAATCCTTCTGAGCAGGAGCGGGGTCGGGAAGCCTCGGGTTCACACCACGAGCAAACAACTCCGACGACGGGAGGGACTGCTGCAACAGACAGCAGGGAACCTCAGCTCGTCCTGTGCACCACACGGCAACAGGAGCGCATCACGATAGAACGACATACCAGGATGGATGATTGTTCGCCCGGCGACAACACCTCCAATCTCGCCAACACCGTTCGAGGGCTGAAGAGGTTCGACGGAAGGAACCCAGCTGAATCTATAAGGACTAGATGAAAAGGCTCTGCGTCGTCCTGGGAGTTACGCGCAAGGATATTCTTCCACTGCTGAAAGGCCGGAGTAGGCCCGCGGAAACGGATAATGACTACGCCGCCTACTTGCAAGTCGAACAAGACCTCTACGCTATACTTTACCTACTTGTGGAACTACTAGTGGCCCTTTCGGTACAGAAGCACGACGACGACACCGACATCAGCGGAGACGGTCAGGCAGCCTTCGAGGCACTAAACTTAAACTACAACAAAGTGACGGACGAAGTGATTAGAGCAACCATGGAGGAGCTGATCAACACGCCCATGGAAACCGGACAGACCCCGGACGTCTACTTCAACCAGAAGCACCTCCTACGACACAAGGCTGAGGAGATGGGGAAAACGATCTTGGACCGCTCCTTCAGGGACATATGCGTCACCGGCTTCACCGACGAGGAGAAGAACGTCAAGATGATCATGTACCGCGACCCAGATTTCAAAGTCGACAAGATGCAAACCACCATGCGTCTCATGTTCCTTGACGAGTAATCTCGCAAAGGGTCGAAGGGTAGCATCGCTGGGCGCGGTTTCGCCATGACTACCACTACCTCAGAGGGACCGACTTGCTTCGACTGCGGACAAAAGGGACACATCCGGAGGAATTGTGAAAGGAAAGGCACGGGAATTAAGAAGCCCAAGCCTGCCGGAGCCACCAAATGGTGCTCGGTTCACTTCACGACCAGGCACTCCGACGAGGAATGCTTCGAGCAAGGAGCACCGCGGCCGGTTAAATTCAGCAACACGGACAAAGCCCTCTACGCATGCGCTCATTGTGCACACTGCTTCTCAGCTAGCAACAATAGGGAACCAGCCACGACAAAAAGGGAGGCAAGCAGCACGGTGTTGACTGAACCAAAGTGTGTTGCGGTGTTGACTTTTAGGTAGTTTTTTCTTGTTCCGCCGCGTGTTTGCTCCGTGTGTCACCCGCGACCAGTCAAGAACGCATGCCAGAAATAGGCCTTTGGCCGACGACATCCCCAAATAGCAGCCAGTGGCGTGTGGTCATACACATACCCTCTGCTTGCATCCCAGAAACAGAGCGTATTGTCCAGTTTTGATTGCACACGGCCAGCTCACGTGAAACGAGGTGTGGTTCGGTGTTGCCTTTTTCGGAAGTTGCTTTTGTTGTCTGCCGCTTGCTTCGAGTCAAGTGTGATCAGTGTACAACGAACGCCATCAGAGAGAGGCCTTTGGCCGACGACATCCACAAACTGCACCCGATAGCGTGCGATGATATATATACATGCCCTCTGCAGGCGACCCATGAACAGGGCGCTCGGTGTTTTGTTCGTCGCACACGACGAGTCAAAACCGTGTACTGAAGAATGTTGTGACTCACAAGAACATGAATCAGTCTCTTTTTTCCCTTCAGAAAAAAATATACGTCGAAGAACCGTAAGACGGTCGTTTGGATCTCGATAATTGTTTCCGTGCAGGCCACCCCCCCCCCGACCGAAAAAAAAGAAAACTCTGAAATAATCAAGGTAACACTCGGCCTTAGCGTTGTTCCTTGGTGAGCGTGTCTGCCTGTTTTGGTTTCTGGTTTTACAACTTTGCGCCTTTGTGTCTTCGCCATTTCCAGATTATTGTCTTTGTGTTTTTGTTTTTCTGTTTTGTTTGTTTTGTATCTTGGACATTGGGACACGAAAATAATTAAAAAAGAAAAGAAAAGAAAACAACACCAACATTAGGAAACAAGTGTCCAGTGTCCAACTTTGTCGTTTCTTCGTCATCAGTTGTTGCTGACTGGAATACACGATGTCTCTCTCCCTGAGTAGGTTTTGACGAAAGGTTTTCTTGCTGGATCGACCGTGCATGATGTCTTTCCTTTGTTGCCAGTATTACTCATTGTGATAGCAACTCGACGAGTATCGTCGCGTTGCCTGTCTGAAGCTTTCCAGATGTTTAGCCGTAAATGAAGTCGGGGGCGCACACCGCGACACACTCGCCCACCGAGCACGACAAAGAGTTCTATACACAGAGTAGATGGGATAAGATATCACATCCCCTGAACAAATTTTAATTTTCAAAGCTCGATTACCCAACAGCAGAAATCGTGGCCGGGCGGCGTTGGCACCGATAGCTTTCCGAAACAATCCTATCGTTTGACATCCTCATCGTCGTGGACTAACATTATTAGCTGTGAATATTGATGATGCGATAAATTATGTCACCTACTACTGCCAGTACATGCCATGCATAAGAACAACGAGCACCCTCTATACTCCAGAAAGGAAGTTACTGTAGTAGTTGAATTGAAACCTCTCATTACCCATCCATGAAGAAGTCGTTTTATACACAAATACTTAAAAAACAAAAGTGCTGCAAAAACTATCTATGGACGAACCCAGCAGTGCCGTTGTTGTTGTCTTCACAATTAATTACGAAAAACCGTTCGTTCTGTTCTCTCTACCCAGTACCTTCTTGTACCTTCTTCGTCTGTTCGTACAATTATGTATGATAGTCTGACACTTACTTGACGCGGTCGATTCCCGCCGTGGTCACAGGCTAACTTACCCTAAAAAGTTATACGAAAATAAAATGGACCCGAAGAAGGGTCCGAATGTCAACGACAGATTAGTCTAGGACCCTCCGCTCGCTTCAATACGCTATGCGAGGTAGTAACTATAGACTGGACAACGAAGCAAAAAATGAGCAAACGATTATTAGAGGCGACCTCACGCGCACCCGATAAAACCGTCAGTCTTGGACCGGCATATCGCACAACGCCCATCCATGCGCATACACTGTTTTGTGGCGAGGGGCTCCATGCTTTCAAGAATCATTTCGTCGATCGGTTTTTTTCGTTTACATACATGTAGCGCGCACGTCACACCCGAATGAAAAGGAGACCCCAACCAGAACGCGCTCTTCCGCACGCTGGGAAAGAAACCGGGACTAAATGAATGCGGACCTAAGAAGATGCGCTTTTCACGGTAGGTTTCTTCTCCGAAACGAAAGAACCGGACGGGAGAGAGGGAAAAAAGAAAAGAGGAGAGGCGTAGGACGCGCTCCCCGTCATGGACATTTCATAAGAGTAGTGGCAGGAACCTCTCTCTTCGATCAGGTTAGAAGACCACCGGTCCCCGGAGCTCTTCTGTTGCACCCACCCATGGACGCAGCAGT